TTAATAAAGATCCAGTGAAGGGCGAGCATTATACCCAGCAGGGCTGCTAAAATGTAAAAAAAGCTCACTGGAATAGATTCAGGGGAGTGGTTAGCAGGGTGCTAGAAGCTAAGAACTTATATGTGTTGAGGTTCTGGATGGGTGCACATTCCTCAAGGAAACCATTCTTTGAGCTCAGAGTGAGTCAATCCCATGGCAGAAGAAAGGGGGCAAAGGGGCCAGAAAGCCCCTTTGGCTAACCAGGGTCATCCAGGATACCTTAAGGGCAAAAAAAGTAGCATACAAGAAGTGGAAGTAGCGGGTAGCTAGCAAGGAAGAGTACACTTCCTTGGCCCGCACCTGCAGGGAGTCAGTCAGGAAATCCAAGGCAGCTCTAGAACTCAGGCTAGCGGCAGGGATTAAGGACAATAAAAAGTCCTTCTTTAGGTACATTGAGAGCAAAAAGAGGGTGCAGGGTAGCATAGGACCCCTACAGGACAGGCAGGGGGATTTCTTTTTACAGCCAGGCCACCAAATGTTTAGATGCAGGAGTCGAGGTGGATGTTATCTATCTGGACTTCAAAAAGGCCTTTGACAAGGTATCCCATACCATCCTTATTAATAAACTGAGGAGATTTGCCTTGGATGATTATACGGTAGAATGGGTAGCAAACTCGCTCAGGGATCACACTCAGAGGGTGGTGGTGGATGGGTCAGTGTCAACCTGGAAGGATGTGTGCAGTGGAGTTCCTCAGGGTTCAGTTCTGGGGCCGGTGCTGTTCAACATCTTCGTCAGTGATCTGGATGAGGGGGTGGAAGCACCCTGTCCAAATTCACGTATGACACAAAATTATGGGGTGAAGCTAACACCTGGAGAGGAGGAACCAGATCCAGGCTGAACTCAACAGGTTGGGGAAGTGGACAGAGAGCAACAGGATGCAATTCAATAAGGACAAGTGCAAGGTGCTGCATCTAGGGACAAAAACCTGCCATCATACCTATAGGCTGGGGGACAACCTTCTCAGCACCACTGAGGCAGAAAGAGATCTTGGAGTCACTGTTGACTCCAGGATGTACATGAGTTGTCAATGTGATGAAGTAGTTGGCAGAGCCAATCATACCTTGTTGTGCATCCGTAGGTGCTTCACAAACAGGTCCAGGGAGGCGATTCTCCCTTTCTATGTGGCACCGGTCAGGCCACAGCTGGAGTACTGTGTCC